AAATAAATGACAATAAGTTGGCTTTCACATCCCAAGATGAATCTGAATGAATTGTGTTATGGATTAATATGACATATGGATCTTGCCTTGGAATGAGTGGGACTTTTCTGAAGGCAACAATTCCATACACTTTCCTGGAAATGATCCTATTGAATAAAAAGCTGTATTTCTTCATATATTGGTTAATTTAGAAGAAGCAACAAGCAACACTACCTCTACGTGATCTGAGAACACAGAAGCTAGGCATCGATTTTTTATAAAATTCCTGGTGAAATTTGGAGAGTAGGGGTATTCAACTGTGGCAACTTTTAAGATTTGTGGACTTCAGCTCTCAGAATCCCCTATGGGCCTAAGCAAGTATAGGACAATGGGAATTATAGTCCAAAAATATCAGGGTACCTGACTATAGGTCACAGAGCAATAGATAGGATTGCTTATAGCAATAGATAAACCTTGTATTTCCAAATTGATGATCCAAGATTTATTTTTTGCATGTCCAATTAAGAGATGATGATAGCAGTTGATGAGAAAGGTCCCAAGAGATGTAATTGTATTTATTTATTTATTTGTTTATTTATTTATTTATTTAATCAAATTTCTATACCGCCCTACTCCCGAAGGACTCAGGGCGGTGAACAGCCAAGATAAAATACAGATAATACAAATATTAAAAATCCCTTAAAATTATTAAATATTTTGGCCGAAACACAGATTAAAACACCCAATTTATAAAATCACGAATTAAAAAATTTAAAAAATAATTTAAAAGAGGGGAGTTAGGCCTGGCCAGCTTGCTGAAATAGAAAAGTTTTGAGAGCACGGCGAAACGTGCGCAGGTCTGGGATCTTCCGTATCTCTGGGGGGAGCTCGTTCCAGATGGTAGGTGCCCCCACAGAGAAGGCTCTCCCCCTGGGGGCCGCCAGTCGACACTGTTTGGCCGACGGCACCCTTGTTTTTACTATTTTCCCAAATATTCTCTTTTTAAAAAGCACAAACTTTTTATAGTCTTTTATTTATTTTCTCTTTTCTGTTATGAATGAATGATAATATTGGCCTGAGCAATAGCTGTATACTTTCTGTTCTGGCATGGAATGTTCCTTTTTATGGGAAAAAATATGATTTCATAATTTCATTCTGACTTGTACATGTGCTGGCATGCTGTATTATGAATGCCTCATTGTAATGGCAAGCTTTCAGTGATGTCATTTGGAAAGGATTCTTCTGCACTCATAATTCATAAAAAGATTGGTACCAGTCCCATTAAAATAACAGAGGAAATAGCCTAATATACAAAAATGTTCCTCCTCAGCTTTTCAGAATTATTTATACAAGAGGGCTCTTATTCTCTCAATTAAAACATGTAATAACAATATGTAAAATTAGAGCTGTGGGGAAAGATTCACTAGTGACAGTCAATGTTAGAATCCTTCCTTCCTTCCTTCCTTCCTTCCTTCCTTCCTTCCTTCCTTCCTTCCTTCCTTCCTTCCTCCCTCCCTCCCTCCCTCCCTCCCTCCCTCCCTCCCCAGCAGCAGCACAGCAGTGCTAAACCAGCAAAAAAAACAACAACCCAAATTTCATTTCCCAGAGAGTAATGGGTCCTGGTATTCTGTAAGTTAGCCAATTTGAATTATCTCTGTTGATAAGGTTTTGCCCTATGATACAGTATTTTGCCCAATTGAAGCTTACAAAGTATCAAACAGACAAGAGTTTTGGAAATATATAGGTATGTGGGAGGACTGCTTATGATTTCTCCTACATTTTGTCTAATGTCAAATTTTCACTAACTGGAAGCTAAGTAGAAACAGGGAAGCCCTGTTTCATGTGGAAAAGAAGAGCCCTGTGTATTTTCCAGACTTAACAATTGGGTGGCTTATCTAACAAGATGACGGTAAGTTCACTCTAGCTTGAGTTAATGTTAGGACGATTGATAAAGGAAATATGAAAATGTTGTGGAACACAGAATTATTGCACAAATTAGACTTGTAGACACACACACACACACACACACACACACACATATATCCATAGCTTTATTAATAAATATATAGGGTTCATACCAAGAAGCTTTTCAGAGCATAGATTTCCAATCTTTGGCACGCAAACCATATTTAAATGAATGTGAAATTCTTCAGATCTATGCTTACCTTTCAAACTGTTATAACTTGGCAGCATTCTTCCCTCATTTCTCCTGGAATGATTGGTTGTAAAAACGTTGATGAATTTCCCTGGATAGGATAGTTAATGACATGCGGTAAACTTGAGCTGATATGGCTGTGAACATGCTGGAATGTAAATCTTCAATCAAGAGCTTTTCCACATGGCAGCTGTGCCCCTATTGTGGGTAAACATGCACTCAAAATCCTTCTCCAGTTGTCCCATCATGCTGACAGGAGGCTGAGCCTACATCCAGAAGCCTAAGCAGAATGGACGGACAAGGTGAAAACTTGTGTGTAAATGGATACCTCATAAAACGGGAAATTCCAAATCCTGAATCCTGTGCATGTCTATATGTGCATGTAAATTTCAGGTATTGTGCAAGCCCTGCTTTCAGAATAAACTAAAGTGCTGAAGCTGAGCTCAAGAATCGAAAGACTGATGTTGTCAGAAGCTATCCCCACAGGAAACAAAACACCTCCGTGGGCTGCAGAAGCCCTGCAGTGGTTTCTTAAAGGTTACAGCCTCAAAAATATTAAAAACCAAACTTTCCTTCGGTAGAAATTACATCAAGATAGAACTGAAAAACGAGTTAAGCATTAATAAATAGGCCAGCAGATGGAGCATTTTGCCTAAAAGGGCTTGGTTTCTTCATGATACATTATTTGGTAGATGTTACAGCCAAGATCAATCAGCTGGGCAAATCAAGAAGAATGTGGATGAAAATGCAGGAAAGAAAATTGATTTTACTGATTTTGTGACATGATTTGGAAAAACATTAATGCTCAATAAGAAAATGCTGGACAGCCAGTGTGGTGTTAGACTAAGAAGGAAAAAGGAAACTTCTACTTCAGCCTCCGTCACAGAAGATCCTTCGGTGACTTCATGTCAGTCACTCTCTCCCAGCCCATCATACCTCACAGGGTTATTGTTGAAAAAAATCAGGAAGGTTCCCTGTACTTTATTTTGAGCTCCTGGATGAAGGACATAAACCAGATAACAATAATCTGTGAATCAGAACAATACATGTTTGAATGTTTTTCATATAATCATGTACTTACTGTACACTGCTACAGTGAATTGCAGTATTCTATATTTTGGCCTCAAAAGCTGCCTGGAAATGTCCATAAAATCACCAGATGTTGAGCTTAATTTAACAGTGACTTCCCTTTTAGGTACTAACCATTTTTCATGAACTCTACACTAAGTTCAATTCTTATGAACTACAGCCACTTCTGTTACCTTCGCTGGTTGTCTCATATAATCATGTTTACATCTCTTTACATTGCTAAATCAAAGTGTGTTTTGTCTAATGGCTCATTTGTCAATTCTTTAACTGCTTCTGTTTCTCCTTTCTGTTTTTAGATTTAAGCCTCAAAATCTGCATTTCTAAAATAATAGAATTCCATAACTGGAAAAAAAATTACCTACTAAGTTATTAAAGGCATCACATAAAATAGACTACGAAGACTAATCAAATAACCACACATAACTCATTGGCTTGGTAGTCCTTGCATTTGTGCTTTCTTGTTTCTAACCCTCAGTAGGGACATAGCCTCCAGGGCTCTGTAGAAGAAAGTTCTGAAAAGCCCATGTGGCCTTTTGCATTCAGACCTAAATATTCAACTTCAGAAAAAATAAGAATGGGCAAAGATTAAATGAAATCAAATTAAATTATAATCAGTGGTGCATGAAAAATTACAATTCTGAGACTGAAGTATTTTTGAGTTTCTACGGTTCATATGAAGATATCTTCATATACCTGTTCCCAACATACCTATTCCTTTAAAGCCATTACAAATGAGATTTTTTACACATGATCTGAATAATTTAGCACAAAATATACAGAAAATAAAAGGGCCAGAAAAATGTTTGTCATAGGCTGCAGGTTAGGTATCATAACACATATATTGCTTTCAAAAAGTAGCAATATGATGCTAAACAGCAAATTATTTTTACAATTTGCCTGACTTAATTTTTATAAGTTTTATCCAATGAGCTAGAAGCATGTTGCAGCATATAGGATGTACAGGCTGGGATTTCTGTCAGCAGCTTATGATATAGATATTCTTGATATTAGCAATCAATGCAGTCTGAAGGACAGCAGCTTGATAATCAGTATATAATGAATATAATATAATTAATAGCAGATCCTTGGTTAGAACTTGATAGGTGGACAAAAATGCCAAATTCACTCTGAATATCTTGCTGACTGTGCAATGAACCATAATAGTAGACTTATGAATGGCTGGGCAATGGATCAACCATGCTAATTAAGAGTTACTCAGCTTTTAAATAAACCAGCTTTTAAATAAAAGAGTACAGTAAAAAGAGAAATAGTTTAATATAGCAATTAGTTACTGGAGAAGAAGAAAAAATAGGACAATAAAACAGCATAACTAATTAAAATCATTGCAAAGTCTCTGTGAATGAGGAGTCCCATGAAATCTCCTCTCTAGTAGAACTGAAGGCATGAAATTGGGCTCTAGAAAAGGCCCATATCTATATTTGCTTAGTGTTCAGTTGTACAAGTACCCCACATAGAGGGCTTGTCTATTGGTGATAGAATTCGGGGCATCGGTGATAACATTTTGGTGACCAATCTCCTTGATTTTCTTTTTTTACTGTGACTGTTCCAAGTCCTTCTTCTGTGCTTGCACTGCTAGTGTTTTTCATTTCAAAATCTGACAGCCCTTTTAGACTTTGCACACTGAAAATATCCTTTGCTGCGATTATTCTGGATTGCAGCTCTCATAACAAACTTGTTATGTCACAATGACAAAAATAGAAAATATAAGACACCACCAAGCTAATACAGAAGATGAAAACACGGCACCAATGTAATATTCTGCCTTCAGGTGAATTTAATGAGAAACTTTTGTGGCATGCTCAAGACATATTTGGGTTAAGTCCATATATAAAATGCATCTAGCTCTGCTGTAACTATTTAAACAGGAACAGAATGAATTTGTCATGAATACAAAGCAATACCGTTTCTAGGTAATTCCCTAAGCAGCAACATTTTTTTTCCAAAACAAAACATAGGTTGATTGAATATTTACAAGTGCATTTCTTTTACAAAAATACATATTTTAACAAGTAGGAGACACCAAGTCATTAATAATGACCCCTTTTCACTTCAATTTGAATATTCATAATCTAACCTTTACAACCACAAAAAGATTTCTTAAGGTATTACTAATTTTGACCAAAAAAACCCTCTGAAAAATATTTCCAACTTTAAAAAAAAGATATAGCAATGGAATATTGTACATTGTCTATATATTGCAAGAGTTTTTATAGTGATAATCAGAAAGAAGTACAAAGAGAATTACTACATGTTTTTTGTCATTTTTTGGAACTTAAAAAGACAGTCTTAGGTATGTTTTTTAGCCCCACGAAGTTATGCATGTTTTATTTCCAATTTTATTTTCCAGAAGTTATCTGGAATATGTTTTTTTTAAAGAATAGCATCATTTCTTCATTTTGGCTGATTGTTAAAAATGAAAAGGCCTATTGATATTTTATAGTTCTCAATTCTAGCAAAGTATACTTTTTAGATACTTTTAGAAGAAAATATTTTAAAAAACAGCGTCCTTTAAGGTTTTCCATTAAATTATTTTGGGGGAAAATTAATACCCAACATTGTTTTACCTGTAAATAGGACAGGTGTTAATGAAATCAGTTTTAATGTAAAATATAGTAAAAATTTGTAAAGCAAATGCTAATATTTTATCACTTGTGTTAAATAGGTTATTGTGAAACCATAATTATTTAAAAAGGCTACCAATTTGTTCATTTTTGTGCTTTGTAGAGTAAGAGCGTATTGGATTTTTGGCTAAATAAATTACAGCCAACAACAATAAAAACAGAAATCTGAAATTTGTACTTCCTGAATCCTGGGCAGGCGGGGGGCAGGGACAGTGTTACTCAGAATTACTTTGAAAATGGCTTCTCTGCACCTGCCTCCTCCAAGCTAGAAAACATCACTGAGAACCAGAGGGTAATTAATAATCAACCTTCTGAAATCTAGTGTTTTCATGATATTATGGGTTGTAACTCCAGTATTTACAACTAGCATGTTTTGCAGTTTAGGAAGATTCTAACAGAGCATTTACTTTCAATTCATATAAATATTTTAATAAAAATATAAGTTATTTCTATAAAATTAGGCTTAAAAAAAAGATTAGCAAGATCAATTCTAAGGAAACTTAAATTTCAACCCAACAATTCAGGAAGTAAAAATGTGAAAGAAAGAAAGAGAAAGAAAGTGAGAAAGACAGAGAGAGAGTAAGAGAGAAAGAACGGGAAAGAACAAGAACAAGAAGGAAGGAAGGAAGGAAGGAAGGAAGGAAGGAAGGAAGGAAGGAAGGAAGGAAAATATTTTTGAAGCAAGTAACTTTTGGTAATTTTTTTAAAAAATGTTAGACATTTTGCAAATTTTTCTTTTCTATTATTACAATCTTCTTATCACACATACAAAATCAATGGACCCCCCTGCATATTCAATCTATTTTGTTTTAGTAACTCAAAAATAATCAGAATATTTTTCTTCCTACACGGCACTCATCATACTTTCCATGTAAATAATGGCAAGCATCAGCTTTCTCTCTTGGAGAACTGAATATTTTAATACTCTATAGATTTCCATAGTTTATTTAACATAATTGCACCATGTAAGAATTTGAGATGAGCTTCCATTAAAAATGGCAGGTCACTTGTCATAAAGGTAACTGGAAAGTGTATTACAGCTAGCTAGCTAAAATTTCATTAACAAAAGCAACAAACAAAAAAAAAGTATTACCTTTGTGTTTGTGCAGACAGATAAATCTAAACCGTAACATTTAAATAAAGACATTTGCTTCAATATAGCAAGCACATTCTCTTTCAAAATACAGTATATTAAAATGTTTTACAGTAGTGCTTTCTATCAACTCAGTACTATCTCCACATAATGTAGGGGAATTATCTATACTTCTAAATAGAATTCATTTTTTTAACTGAAGATGCCATTTATTTCAAGACTTTTCTACTTAAAAAGATTTAGCTTCTCCCCTGAACTGTGGTACTTCCTAGCAGCAATGTACTGTGTATATGAGTCACAGCAACAGCTAAACATCACTGGACAAATGTTGTGGTCATACAACTTATATCAATGGCCTCATGGCATATGATGCAAGTAGGTAAAGTCACCTCATGATCATGTCATCATGGCACACAAGTCATGGAAACCCTGTAGACCAGGGGTGTCAAACTCGCGTCATCATGGCGGCATCACGTGACATATCACGACTTTCCCCCCCTTTGCTAAACCGGGCGTTGGCGTGATCAGCGCATGATGCATCCAGCCGGTGGGCCACAAGTTTGACACCCCTGCTGTAGACCCTCCTGCAGTTTCCTCTTGTTCAGAGAAAAGGACGTATTTTGAAATAAGCCTGAGCACATGGTGCCACATTCATAAGCATCTAAAGTGAATAGGATACTGATGAAAAGGGAACCTACTCCCCAACTAATTTTTTTTTTATTGCTTTTAATGGATAATTCCATTTCCTTTGTGTCGCTTGTGGAAAATTATTGTAGAGTAAAAGGATTTTTGGTTCAGTGGCTATATAAAAGCCTCTCTTCATGTTTTACAAGGAAATGCTCAGATTCTCTAACACTATATTAACATGTTGTGAATTTTGACAATAAGCATCTACAGTGTAGAGGTACAATGCACCTGTATCAGAAATGCAAATTTGTAGGCCACAAGGAGGTTAGATGTGCAAGAAATATTTTAAGGCTTTTACTTTCACAGCTGAGAAGTCATATCTTGGACTTTTATGCTTCCCCCCCCCCCCAACTCAATTGGAAAATCTCTTACTAATCACGGTTAAATCATATTACAAAAATGAAATAAGCTAGTTCTGAAATCTGGAAATTCATTGAATTGTTGTTGAAAGGTTGTTTTTTTTCTCAGAGCCCAAAACATTTGTTTTCATATGGTCCTTTTGTATAGCAAAAGGCAAAATCCCTGCTAGGTACAGCAGAAAATATTTTGGCAAAATATTACAGCAGAAAATATTTTGGAAAGTATTTTGGACAAAATACTTCAGTCCACTACAATATAATAAGAAATAGGAGATTGGAAATGTAACACAGACCAGTTGGAATTAACCTACGGAATAATACATTTCTTCTAATGAGACAAGATAAAGCAATAATTACTCATTCCTCAGAGGAAAACCTGAAACAGAAATTGTGCACATACTTAATTGTAAAATCAAGAATGCTTTTACAGTTGCATGGATGTTTAATTTTAACAATGCTCAGCCTGAAAGAGTGCTGACATGAGAAAAACACTAGATGCTTCCTATTAGTATTGGGACAGATAAGTCTCATTGCTGATGAATTAGCCATGTTAGCTCAACAGTAGTGGAAGATCTTTCAATTAATTGCAAAAAATATTAGAAAGAAGTGATAAAGGCATTATGTAGGACTGATCTGTATTGATAAGATGTCTTAGGAGGAGGTAAATTTAGATTCACCCAAAAGCCCTGAAAATTTGAACTATGCATCCATTTCCTAGGGTTTGGGATAAAGTAGAAAGTAATGCCCTATGTATTCTCTCCATGGGGAGCCATACATATTTCTAGGTTCATAGTCATTTATTCCAGGAATATGGGAATTGCAGCTTTGGGTGTTATCCAGAATTATGGAACAAAACCCACAAATCACATATATATCTTTTACCCCCTTGCTTGAAGGGAATATTCAAAGCCACTCTTAAGACACTGAATGCATTAAGAAATCTGTTGTCATTATATACAAGTTAAACTGAAGACTGAAAGAGCTTTATGTACAACTTTATGTAATCAGGTCCCCAACTAGATCCGACTTCTTCGGTATTATGGCATGATTGATTCATTGGATAAATCAAAACTGGCTGGGTTAATGTGTCTTCAAAGTCATCAATCATAGTTTACAACCCCACATGGGTTCACAGCGTAAGCTAAGCCAAAACCAAACAAACTTTGTGATGACAACGCACAATGGGTAAACCCAATCAGAATATACAAAATTCTGACTAAAATTCACAGAATGAGTTTCATGGGCCCAAAGTTTTGTATATGTAAAAGTAGTTTCAAAAGCAACGTATCAGCTGCTTTGAAAATAGAAGGGAACGGCAAAAATATTTTTTTGATATGCCAAGGGGCACATTTAACTAGGCAAAAAAGAAAAGAAAAGAAAACTCCCCTAGACAAGAGCTGAAACTGGCATTTGGATCCAACCTATTGCATCTAACAAAAGAAGCATGTACAAATGATACTTTTTCAATGAGCTAAGAACAGTTAACAGATGATTTAACATTTAACTGAGAATACATTCGTCAGAAAGTGCTGGCCCCAAGCATAACAAGAATTGTACAATATTGTAATCTACAGCTGATTACTCTGGACTAGAACCTTAGAACCAAGTCTATTAGCGTGGGATTTGACCTGGTGCAAATAGCACGTTTTTCCTCTAGAAATAATGATCTACTTTACATATTCTTACTTACAAGACCCCTGTATTACAAGGAAGGCATACAGTATTCGAGCTTAGTTTCCAAAACTCAGTAGTTTTCTAGAGTGAATTACTTGTCTTATGGTATGTAATTTACTATATAAAGAATGTTGTTTATTAAAAATTGTACAAATCGTTAAATTTGACTGTTACCTTTGTTTTTAACTGCAAAAAAGTAATGGAAGACGAGAAAAAACAGTATACAATACATTGTGATTTCTGTAGTAATATCCATAGCACAACATTATTGAACAAGAAAGAATTCACATATAATACCTAAGGCAACCATTAATATTTTTGAACACTACTGTTATGAAAAAAAACAAACCCAAACACCCTGAACAGCCAGTAGTTTTGGTCAGATAGCTTTGTAACCATTCAAATTTACTTGAGTTTCACACTTGACAACCCATTTCATAACAACAGTAAGATTCCTGGTAAACCTAGACCGTGCCTGTGATGCAATTAAACTGGCTCATTTTATAATGTACTGATGCATATTACTGAATATGTTTAAAGAATACAGAAGCAGATGCCATTCCAGTGGCTGTAATCCAACACATTTAAGACCACCAATTTCAACCCACAACTTTCTAGTATTATTACCAAATTTCAAAGGGAAAGCAACAATTAAAAATATAACCAACACTTTGAGAATAAAGTTTTCACAATAGTTTTTCTTTTTAGTTAAATTACAATATAATTTAAAATATCTCTTCTTTTAAAAACTCTTATTTTACCTGCTGCACATGTACCAATGTGCTATTACTCCAAATCAAAACTTTAAATAAGTTTTGTGTATCATTGAAAGGAGATCATTTGATATTGTACCAGTCAAGTTCAATTCAGTCTGGATGTTTTCAACTTCTTTGATACAAAATCTGACTGTTCAGATACTGCTAAATGATCACTGCATATTAATGAGTGAACTACATCAGATTCTATGAGAAGCTGAACGAGTAAAAGTAGTGGTAAAATAACCACTTTTCTGAAACATCTATTATATACAAAATATTTAAAGGTATAGTTTTTAACCTTTTATACAGTACTTTTAAACAACTTTTTCTTCAGTAAAACAGTACATGTGGGGGAAAAAAACAATAATACCACAAGAGAAATAGAGGACAGCTATTTTTTCTAATGTAATCGGTGTTATGGAACCATTTAAGTTTTCTATCAGGCAAAGCAAATATTCAAGAGATTGATTCTTGACTATACATTTAATGATTTGGCTATAATTTACAGTCTTTTGATGCCACAAATATATCATGAATGTTTCAGTTGCAGAATGGCACTTGGTTTACTCTAACAGCAGGGACAAAGTAATTGATCAGCTGAAGAGAAGTCCATATTCGCAGGTTGAAATTCGAGTGGTTTCCCCCCCTCCCCCCCAATCCAGGCACATCCATTCATTGTGCAATCTGTCGATGGGTAAACAACATAGTGCAGGTTTAATCTCAGTAGAATCTGGCCCTTTGGTTTAACTGAAGTCAATTCTGGGTCGATACTGGAGTACCATGGGATAAGACTAAAACCATAATGAAAACAGAACAGAAACAATAATAGCAGGTAGAACATAAATAAACAAGCAGTGTAATGACTTAACAATTCAACAGAATTTAGTTAGTAAGTCCTTCCTCATCAATGTTAAGAGGAACAAAATAATACAAGGGTAAGAGTTGTATAACTTAAATTCTCATGTCCACCTGGCTCATCAATAAACTAATCAATATTCTCAAGATGAAAAATAAATTGGCCGTGTTCTCAACAATCTGAATTCACTAGAACTTTTCTTCCTAAGCAATTCCTCATTACCTACAGAAGGATTGCTGGACAGGCTAATGAAAGCAATCGCCCCCTATGAAGATGGAGGGGAAGTTGTTCCTGAACCAGTTGTTTTCAGTATTGAAGTCATTTTAATTCTCTCTATGGATACATAGAGTACCATCATTAAATAGGAAGAAACTAGCAATTTAAAAAATTAAACAAAAGAATATATACAAGGTAGCTAAGAAGTAGTATCCAGGACTGTAAGAACCTACTGCTGCTAATAACTGTCCTCACAGTAACAGTATGCTGAGCACTGAGGTTAGTGTTGTACTCGATTGCATTAAAAAAAAAGTAATCTTCACCAGTTGTTCTGATTGGGCCTAATCTTCATTTAAGGGTGCTCTCTTTAAAATTCCCAAGCAGACCATAATTCACCTGTTATACACTGTGATGATGCAAAGATAATGTCAGGAACTATCATGATACAAACCCCATAGTACTTGCCTCTCAGTATCAGACATAAGCATGTAAAGTATGTGGCTGTGTGAGATGTCTTTGATTTACCTTCCCTTGCAGATGCCTATTACATAGCTGCAAATAGGCTACATCCCAGAAAGCCAAGGAAATTTTTAAAAAATACCTTCGATTACAGTGGTTTTCAACCTGGCCCCTTGAAGATGTGTGGACTACAACTCTTGCTGGCTGTGGAATTCTGGGAGTTGAAGTCCACACATCTTCAAGTGGCCAAGGTTGAAAAACACTGCCGTAGAAAATTAATTCCTGAACAGTGTTTGTTAACCATGTACTGGGGCCTGATCTTTTTCATCCTAATGTCAGGTATGTGCAACCTGTTGCTAACATCCAATTCTCACCATCTCCAGCCACTGTTGACAATGTTGAGGGATGATGAGAAATGTTCTGTAACAACATTTGCATAGTCATACCTGCCTTATGACAATCTCCCATTCCTTAGGGATATAATCTGAAAATACAGGGACATGGCAACGCAGTGATATGCATTTTCCTGAATGCAACTGTCCATTTACATGAATTATGGCTGTACTTCCTGCACCTAACAGCAAAGGACTCTATTATTTTCTCTACTAGAAAATACTTACATGACTAACTCAATGGCAATGTGTAACGGATCTTGCTCAAACAAATTTATTCTAATGCTGGATATAACACTGTATTTTACAGTCTCACCATAAAGAGATCATAATGCTTTTTCAATTTCTCCCATGGAACGGTGACTTACTATATACACACTTGGTTATATAAAATAGGGGAGCAAAGTAAAATGGAGCTTCCATTTTATAAAGGAAGGGCAGCATAAAATTGAAGCATACTATGAACGCTTAAGATTGGAAGCCCATTATGACAAAGGTTAATACCCTATGGCATTGTGGACTAACCCTCCTTCTTTGAAAGTACGGTTGCTATATAAAACACAATATTTTTGCAGTATAATTCTAACATTTTATAAAAATAACTTTAAAATCCTAAGCTTCTTATCCCCTGAAGCTCCAAACTATGAAACCAAATATTCATAACACCCAATCATTCAACTAAGGTAGTGTAGCCATAACGGTTACACTATGGTTAAGCCATAATGATTACACTAATTTTCTATTAATATTCATTTCCCAAAATATCTATAGCACTATTCATGAATCCTAATGTCCCATGGTTGTAGACACAAAATATTTTCAGATTATCCTATTGCTGCATTATGATGTCATGATAATATAAATGGAGTTACATAGAATATTGCTGAAGTTAGCAAAGCTTCAAAGAAGGCAATACTTTATAGCATTAAGCCTGATTAGTTTACAAAAAATAAGATTGTCAACTTGCAATTAACCTGGGTTAATATTCATGCACATGGTATCCTATCATACCTTACTGTAAGGCTACAATTAATCAACAGCATAGAAAATCTGAACTAAATTATTGTAATATTACAACATACTCATCTTTATTTCAAACTGATTTACGAAATTGGTTTTATAATTTGGGAGCCCATGAAGACCCTATAGCATGCTACACAAGATATAAATTAATAAATAGCTTGCCCCATGCATTTTTAAAAAAAAAATATAGGTAAACATTCAGACAAAAAACCAAGGCTTCAGTCTTTATAATTACATTTAGTCTAAAGAACTTAGTCCAAAAGAAAATGAAAGACCCATTCAGCTCCCACCTAAACTGAATTTCAAAGTATAATGTCTTAATGACTACAATGTGTACAGTCGAGGAGTGCCTCTTACCTGATAAAAAGAGCCATCCTGTGAGCAGACTTGTGATGAGGAGCAGTTCTGACACCGAAACTGCGAAGGAGATGATTTTCTGATCAGATAAGAGGCATCCACAACTGAACATTGATCATCAGTCATTTAAAAATAGTTGCATATTCAAGAATGTAATTTTCTAACCCGTAAGAGATGAGCTATATGGCTGCCAGAATTTTTTTTAAAGAATCTATAACATTAATTATACATATAACATTAGTTACAATGTTTAAGAATCTATAACATTATGTATGTATGTATATATGTACTGTATGTATGTATGTATGTATGTATAAAATTACACACACACACACACATACCACACACCCATCTCCCCAATGTGCAGCTTTCTTGTTCTCCCAATTCTGACTACAAAAAAAACCCATGGATGCTCTAAAAAACAATAATCTTCAAGATATAATTGGAGGCAGATGGCAGGGTGGATATTGGAAATCTCATTTGAATTAAAGTATCCCTGACTTATATGAATGCTTTAAGGCAGCAAAGTGTCATTAAAAAACACAACACAATAAAAATAAGAACAGCAGTGAGGGAAAGAGAAACATTAAGGGGTTAGCAATAAGATTTGCAAAAAAAATTGAATCTCTATAATGCCAGGAATTTTGCAGACAAAAACTATGCAAACAAATTTAATTAACATTAACATTAATTATACCAATTGTGAATTCAGTAAAAGAATAGGTCTCATAAAAATGGTAATCGTCTATTTTTAGTTAATGATAACAATTGTTAAAATGCCGAATTATGCAACTTTTAAAGAGATGTATTTTTAAATGATTTTCAGTAATAACAACATTTGGAGTTCCAAAGACTACTCCTACCCCATGCTAGATAATGGGAATTATTATTTTGTATACTGTCCAACTTGCTTAGATTCATTTAAATATTCAAAAGCATGGATAAAATGTAAATAGTTATTAAGCATGCAAAATGCATTGAAGACAGTTAAACTATAGGTTTAATTAAAAGAGAAAATAAGTTAGCAGATATAGAAATATGTAACTGTCCTACATATATCCATACTAGAGAACTGCTGTCATGAAACACTAGACTAGACAATATTTTTTTTATACCTGAGTATTTTATCTTCCTAGTCACAATTGTTTTGACTATATAACTATAGTTATCATACTGTTTTAAAATGACATTTTCAGAAATCTGAGAAGTCGCTTTTTATACCCCAAGGTTAATTGGATTATTGTTATTTAATTTTTTTCAATTTATCTGGGTCATTTACCAAAAAAACATATGGAGTTTCTTCATAGCACATGCCAATGTGCTATCTACAATTCATATTTTTGAAACTGTACATTTGTGAATTTCATGCTCTTGGGATGCTATCTAAATAACTAGGTTTTTGGAAAAATAAATGTTATTTAGTAGAGATATGCCCCACATTTCAAATTTAGATTGTTTTGAGTTGGAAACAGGCCATTACAACCGCACCATGAGTTTTCTTACATCATTCTGCCCTTGTCTGTTCTTATTTTGAGATTACCTCATTTCAAGCTTGAAATGGCAGTTTTCCTCTCAAAAATTGAGGTTTTTAAGAATACTTCCAGTGCGGAAGGACAATGTGGTTGGAACACCACATGGAATTTGAAATAATTCCTTCTCTCTTTTAGCACATCTCCCCCTCCAATATTTTTCCCAGTTTTTGTTTCTGTAAAAGCTTAGTATCAAACTTTTTTTATTGCTTCCTTGCTGTTCAAAGACACATCATTTCTAGGCTTGAAGGTTGAGGATTTCTTTGTGATTCTCACTGCCTTAGGAAAATTCTGGCCGTTTCTGACTCCACTTCTTCTGTCTATCTGAACTGATATCAGGCAGAACAGTTACCCATCAAAGTCTTGAAAAGCAAAAATCCTCAACAGGTTTTCATTTCTGTCTTCTTTTTCAGCAAGAAATAACAATTACAATATGACACTAATGGCTTCTTTAATCATGCTGTGTCAGGCATGATGGTTTCAATTAACTTTCACATATATACCATGTTACTATACCATACCATGATGGCATAGCAGGTTAGAAGTGTATATCAAAATATTTTAACATTTTCCACTTGTCTTGGAGGAACTATCAAACGATAAAACTAAAAACTAATGAAATTAAACTATTGCTCAGCTAGACTGGCATTGCCTCTTCTATCAACTCTCCTGAGTCTCAAACAGAGTTGGTCCACTACTTGCTCTATGATCTTTAATTGGAGATGTCACTAAGGTCAGTGCCCTTCCTCTAAATCCTTTTATATTTATATTAAACCTGCTAAGAATATTATATACTATACCCACCTGTTTAAAGTCAAGATTTTCCTGACTTCAGTTAACAGAGGCATGACAAATCCTAACCTTGTCTGGCCTAGAGATCTCTGAATTTGGTAGAATTTTAGTTATGTATCTGCCAACTTCCCTTTATGAAAATAGACTAAGTTGTTTGACAAGCCCTCTTTCTTCGTAATTCTCACCACCCTAGGAAAATTCTGGCAATTACTGACCATTTCATCTATCTATCTGAACTGTTGCCTGCTGGTAACAGGAAATCTAATGGAAATATCAGCAATAACCAGAAACAGACCACCAAAAAACCACGAAGTGTTTGGTCAATTTTTTTGCTTATCAAAGTCTTGATAAAAGCACTTTGTGCTTTTTGGTAGTCTGTTTCTGGTTATTGCTGATATTCCTGCTAAGATTTTCCTTTTTCCTGAATAATTTCCCTGGATAATTCTCTGAATGAATCTAGAGGCTGTTGAATCAGGACCTTAATGACTCCAGTATATCTGCTATACTATTTTATTTGTTTTTTGCACACCTTACTACCTTTTTGGCATTCTTTCAATGAATTCTAGCAGCGGACTCACAAACAGGTAAGGATTTATTTTGCCTGTAAGCAAGAATTCATTCCACGTGCCCATACTGCTTAGATAGGGCTATTTAAATAGCAGTATTGAAGATGGAGGGAAGTTGAAGTAAGTTGGCCTAACCCTTATCTAAAGATGCTTAAATAGCAATTTATCTCCTTTAAATCCCAGGCCACACTCCTGCTTCACAAGGAGGACAAACAGAAGAAGGAGCTCACCATTTGTTACAAGATGTACTTTGTTAAGTGCAAATACTTTAAAAAACGGCAAGAAGTCCTGTTTTTAGATGTAGCAGTGCCAAGTTATAGCAACATCAGGAAGACAGTGTATGAGAAACTGGAGAAGTTCCAAAGGCCTAAAGGAGGAACTGGAGAGGATATGGAAAAGTAAAGGCCAAAGAGGTCCCAGTGGTAGAAGAAGCACTCAGGGCTGTGATCTCTAAGCTGGGACAGTGGCTCCAGCAGAACCTAGTACCATCAGAGCTCTGTGTCCAGAAGACTGTGGTGCTAGAAATGACCCAAGATTGAGAAAGACACAGTCTGTCTCTGTCTCTGTCTCACTCTCTCTCTCACACACACACATACATACATATAAGCACATAAGCTTTTTAAGAGCCATGGTGCGGAGTGGTTAGAATGTAGTAGTGCAGGGCTAACTCACTGCTCATTCCAGGAGTTTGAGTCTCACCAGCTCAAGGTTGATTCAGCCTTCTATCCTTCCAAGGTCAGTAAAATGAGGACCCAGATTGTTGGGGGCAATATGACGACTCTGTAAACTGCTTAGAGAGGGCTGTAAAGCACTATGAAGCGGTGTATATAAGTCTATTGCTATTTAAAAGGAATATAATTTAATATAATACATAACTAAAAGCCCTATAATTAATATAAATATTTATATATAAACTAAAAGCAATAAAAACTTATTTCATTTACATTTTCGCCTCGTAGTCTCCATCTTGTCATGTAGATGAATTCCATAGTATGATCCTTCCCCATGATTTCCCCATTGCATAGTACATCCAGCTTTAAAACAAAAAACAGTTACTTGAAGAAGTATTATAAAACCATTCTTAGAGCTATGTTCATCTTTCCTAAAAGAGAATCATTCATATATAAGAGGAAAAAGATATTAGCTTGATTATTCTTATGCAAGATAGTTATTTAATGAACAAGAAGAATGCAGACAAAATTATTTTTAGCTACTTACATAGATTTTAATTATTATTCCCAAATGCAAACTGTATTCTCCATCTAAACAAGCTGCTTAAAATAAAGTGTTTAAACCATAGAACATCCATTACAGCTGTTAAGTACATTTGCCTGGTTTCCCCCCATCCCCCAATATTTATTTTGGGATTCATTTGGTCTTTATATTAAATCACTAGATGTTTTTAAATGGATAGAAGAGTTATATACTTGTATTTTTTATGGCAAGATAAATATGCAAATTAGGAAATTATCTTGTGCTGTTTTATATGCAGTATATCTTCTGTATGAGGGAAGGAGAAAAACTAAAGTCTTATTTGGCATAAGAAAATTTTAAAAAATGATGTTACATTATTTTAGCTATCCAGTTCAGCACTGTAGCAATAATTTTCCAGGGGTTCAAGCATGGCCTTTAACATAAGATGCAAAATTATTTTTAAGCATTTTTTCCAAGGACAGAATATAAGGTCATTAGCATACAAAGCATATATACTAAAGTAAATTGTGATCCAAATAATACAGTCATAAATACTGATATATATACAACATAAGAAAATTGCTTTACGCATTTAATTGTTTTAAAATAAATCTACATCTAATTTCAGAGTTACATGCCTTATAGTATGATTTTATATTCTGTTTGGATTATAAAATACTACACAATTTTTCAGATGAAAAATTTTCAGATGGAAGCCATTTAAAAAATGTTCTCCTAATAGTCTACTCCTTTTCTTTCTTGGTGATTGACCACCTTCAATAAAATAGAGACTTTAAATTGGATTATGACATTTAAAAGTGCAACTGAATGCCAATTTATATTGGAATAGGTCTAGTGAACACTTCACTAAGGAAAGATTGTTAATGTACTATATGACATTCCATATTTGCAATGCAAGGAAAAATGGTTTAGGTAGTTAAAGTTGTGATTGTTTAAATTCACTTAGTCAAAGGACGGATGATACTACTTTGGGTGATAGAACATCATACCTCATAAGAACTTGGAAGCTTTAATTTTAAACTTAGAAATTTCTTGATGGTTCCTACAGTTACTCGTGTAGAACACCGGATGAATTTCTTCATCAACCCCTAAAGAAAAAGAGACAAAAACTGTAAACTTAGATATTAAAATCTCAATTGCTTGCACTCCAAATATTACCTACCTAATCTGATAACATACCAATTTTATTTAATTATATATACCTTGTCTTTATTATTTTTTTACAAACTTCTCAAGACTGTGAAATATCCAACATACCTTCCTCCACTTACTTTCCTCACAACAAAGCTGTGAGTGAGGTATGTTGGGCTGAAAGAGGATGACTGGCCCACCATCAGCCAATTTTCATGGCTAAAGCGGGACTAGAACTCATGGTCTCCCAATTTCTAGCCTGGTACCTTAACCATTTGACTAAACTGGCTTGAATTCTAGCCAATGCTAGAATATATAATATCTTCTGCTGACATGCAAGAATGATTTTATACGAATTAAATTTATTGAATGTAATGACTTCTTTGATATATTATTTATTATTTAATTTCTAATCAAAACTATTTAATATTTGTTATATGACAAAATATACATCCCATTAATCTCTTAAGTAACATAGAAAAATCAGTTGGGAGCAAGATACTGATTCTTCCTCTGTTAATCAAAGATATTTTTCTTTTAATCCAGAGGTGCGGAATTTGAGGTCCTGCAAATATTATTGTATTATAATGTTCAACAGCACTGGCTACGGTGACAGAGAATCAGAGTTTCTTAACTTTTAATTACATTTAGAACTTTAAAATTAGCTCACTTAGACAGTGGAATGAAGACTCAGGTATGGTAACTGCAGAAAAAATTTAAGAAATTAGTTCGGATTTCCTTGAATTATAGAAAATCACCTCTCAAGTAACAAATCTTGTTTATATCATACCTATTTACTCTGCATCATTCTACTAATGAATACTGTATAAAGAGTTGTCCCAAAGTTGCTTTTTCAAGAGGCAACTGGACTTTCTGTTTTTTCTTTGAAGATGGTTCACTTTTCATCCAACAAGCTTCTTCAGTTGAGAAGCGAAACATCTTCAAAGAAAAATGAGAAAGTCCAGTTGCTTCTTGAAAAAGCACCTTTGAGACAACCATGATCTGGATGACTGAGAATCTCCATAGACATATATAAAGAGTTCAAAACTCACTTTTACTACATTATCACCAGACTGCCCATTGTTACGTAAACAATCCAGACAAATAGCAATCTGTGGGTCACTTCTATGATAATCTTTGTCTTCTTGGTTTTCATCTCCATTTTCACCATCTTTAGGATTTTCAGAATTTGCATTTTCTTCTGAAACAAAAAAAGTGCACAGATAGCAATGTAGAAAGTAACAAGCTAAGACTGCAATCTAGGTCAAGTTTTCTTGAAACCAATTTCATGTATCTCAATTGAAGCAGTGCCAAGAGAGTTCCATTCTGTTTGGAGCAGCTGTTTTCTATTCCTCTTGCTGTGCAACTTCTACAAGAAGCTTCTCTGGTTAAAAAAGGTGGGAGAAGGTGTCATCAATAAGCAGAGAAGTTCTACTTCTGCTTTTCAAACTTAGGTGAGGCAGAAAATGTTCTGAAGAAGTACTTGAAATCAGTAATGCGGTTTATGACATCTAATTATTTAAAGTTTAAATTATATAAAATAGAGGCACTGATGATGGATGGTTTGTTCCTTCAGTAAGATGTACATATTTGCATTTCTTAACAAATTCAAGTGAAAAATAAGACTACAGTTTCTGACATTTTGATAAGTTGGAAGTTAAAATGTTACATTGTGAAATAAATGTAAATACCTCTTCCATTTTCTATAGGTTTGTTTTTCTTCCAGAATTCAGCTTCACGATGCAATTCTTCTAGTTTTCAGTAACCAAAAAACAAATTTGTAATTCAAATTAATAATGCAACAGGATTACCAAAGTAAATAATCTTGTTAAGAGGAGCAAAAACATACCCTCCCGAAGTCCTGGAACCAGCTTAAATATAATTTCTTCTAAAGTATTATCCAGCCTGGAAAAGAAAAAAATATCAACAACTCAAAATACTTAATATGTATATATTCATATGTTAACATACATTACAGGCATACATTATAGAATTTCAATGGGAAATAACAGAGCTATTCTAAATCTATTTTCAATTTCTTTTTGAGCAAATGTTCTGAGAATGATTACAAACTCCATGACTGTTCTGTAGGGAAGAGATGTACTCCATAAGAATTTGATTTTTGGTTCCATAAAGCTAATGGGGCTCTATTGTTTGCTCTGTAATTTTGAATGGCAACAATCTTAAATTAACTCTAAATTAATCCTTAGGACTAACTCTTTTGAGGACTATGAAATTGATTGCGAGATTTTCTTTTGGCCAAAACGTAAAATCAGAAAGAACTTAAATATTCTACTGAAGAGAAGTAGTCTACATATACACATGCATAAAGACCCCATCCAGAAAAATATCTGTCTTGTTATCTTACTAGGTTAGAACCAATAGACTTGCTTTAACATATTGTCAGAATCTGAAGCCCATGAAATTGTTTGAATTGCCGTTTATTGTAATGACACTAAATTGCATCCACAGTTGGGTAATGATATTAGTTATTTATAAATATGCTTAGAAGTACGATGAGGAGACATCTAGGTGTATATTATAATTTTTGATCCACAACTATTTAAATTAATGCCAAGAGTATCTATATTCTTAAAATTACTGAAGAATAAATGGGAATCAAAATGTAAAAATAGGATACAGAGTACATGCTAGCTATGTACAGAACAAGTTTATAAATTAATTCATAAACAAGTTCTTAATGAATGAATCCCTGATTCAAGCCATCAGTTTATACTCTAACACTTCTTTCCTTGTTGTGCTACTGCCATCACTTTGAACTAGAAAAATAATAAGATACCAAGAGATTTAAAATAAGAAGATACAGAGATTTTGAGAAGATATTAATATATCTGACTCCATGGCTATTTCGCATAGATAGCCATGCATAACACAAGTTATTAATTTTTCTCAGGCAGAGAGAAAATAGTAATAGTAGGATATGAATATATAAACAAAGGAAAAGATCAGGTGAGATTATATGCTTTGATGCAGCATATAATTGCAAAACCAAGTATATAATTTTATATGTAATTTTTCCATTTTTAATACTTATATTTTCTGAATAAAATTATACACATGTGCATACTCACAAACTCACACACAAAATTCCTTACATCTTAGACTAGCATAATTCTTCAACAAGAAAACATTCATTTGTATTTTTGGAAATCCATAATATCTCAAAAGATACAATTCTTAGTTTAATTAAAAATTAGCTACAATTATTGATACAGAAATCTATCTATCTATCTATCTATCTATCTATCTATCTATCTATCTATCTATCTTCCTGGAACTCAATTGGGTGAAATTGAAGGTATAGGACAACAATTATTGAATCAAGATAATTCAAATGGATTAATTTACAGAATGCTGTGACCCATGACTTGTGGGAATGAAATTGGGGAAAGTTATGGCCACTTCAGCTCCACCACTCCTTCTGACGACACTTCCCAGAAACCTGTAGGTTATGTGGTGCAACGGAAGATGGGAGGGCTGTATGCCCAGCCTTTCCTGCCTCCTTCCGGTTCCTGCACTCATTCAGCTAGCAGAAATGGGGCACAAATTATCTAGTAAAGCTTTAACGCATTAATTTGTTGCCAACTGGTTTTATACTTAGTGTTTCCTTGCATTGTGTTTGCTATTTTGAGAGATTAAATTGTTTTTCTAAAAAACAAACATCAATTCTTTTTTTCTTTAACCCCTTCAACCAAGGAAAAACACAGAACAGCAGCCATTACCATGTTATTGTAGTTTCCCATCATTCCACATCACTATCTACTCTCTTCCTAGAAACTTCATTCTTTTCCATAATGAGCATGTTGTTTAGAACCTTTGTATTTGCTGTCCATGATTCCTACCACTAAATTTTGTTTGCCTTAAAAAAGATTGTATGTCTTGTTGCAGGAGCTATAGTTCCCTGTCAGCGAACCATATTTCTGGGGAACCCTGCACTATAAGTGTGTCAGTCACTTGCTTAGTAGACTGCTAGAGAGTGTAGGAAGGTATTTGCTTTCCTGCTGCTCATGACATTTGGACATCTGAAGCATGGTGGATGGGAAGAAAGGGAAATTCTTTTATTATATGTGCTGATACCAGTAATGTTTAAGCTCATATAAAGAAAAAAAGCCACCAAAAGACTAGAGAGGTGGGAAGTAGCTTCAGAGTTGAGCAAGAAGAGAAGGTGAAAAAGTTGGGTATGTATCATATTATGGAACCGTATCTTACTATAGTTGCAAAGCAAATGTGCAAAAATATTTAGATGGTGTAAAGAAAGGAATTTTCCCAGTATAATTGAAAATTGGTTGGCAATATTTAAACTTGGGAAATTAATGATTTATGACCTGTAAAACTGAAACTGAGTTGATTGAAACAAGGCAGATCCTTTTGTAATATTTGAAACTAATTTAAAATGTGTCTTGTAAACTTTAATTATAAAGATTGAATGACTAACGTTTTGTTAAAGTGACAAGAACAATTCTATTATTCTCAATTATCTAACGTTGGTAATTTGGAATTCCAGCACTAGATATATATATTTTCTTATACGATTTCATTACACTGTTAATGAACTGTTTTCTTTTGAAATAATTTATTAAATAATTTATTAAATTTGTTAAATAACCCCTTACCGTAACATTTCTAATGGATTGGTCTCATGTACTTGATTGCCACATCTTGGGCAATCATTGCTGTCTTCAAAGTGTTGCACAATACAACTCTTGCAGACTGCAAAATCAGATAAGATGTGTTTTAGGAAAATATGTAAATAATTACTGCAAACTACTGATTTTTTTAAGGAAGTCTAATATCCCAAGATCTACTAGAAATATATCCTGATTTTCCACTTTATTTGATAACCCAAATACTTGAGCTTGGAGATTCAAGACCATTCTGGCAATGAAGTTTTAAAGTATTGAAGATTGTCAAATCAAGTTATGAAAGAATTATGCCCGATTTAGCACTGTACAGTTTATGTGATTATTATGTCTATTTTTATAGAGTTAAATATTGTATCTCATGTTTTCATCTAATATCCTTGGAGGAGAAGGAGGTACTCTGGACACCTGTATGTCTTACAATGGCTGTTGTTAATATGTGAGGGAGAGATATTTTTCTAAATAATTGCAAATGTACTCTTTTCATTTACCGTATGTCTCCCACATTCCCTTTTCTGCTGAAAGATGTTCTGATTCCTAGAACATCTGGATCCAGGCAGATACTCTATGTCTCTTGCTGTCATATATGTTTGTTCTACTGGTTAAAGTACCAGGCTAAAAACCAGGTATGAAAACCATGACAGCCAGCTGTGGTGACTTTGGGCCAACCTCTCAGCCCAACCCACCCCACAGCACTGTTGTGTGGGGAAAATAAGAACAGGAAGCAGCATTATGTATGTTCACTGCTTTATATTACTTATAAAGTAATAAAGATGGGATAAAACTATAATAAACAACAAAATAAATAAATAAATGTAGAATAAAAATAAATAAAACAAAACTATGGTCCTACTATTAAAACTCCCTTCATGGTTTCCAACTCCTTACTATTAATTAATAATTCAAGCATCTCTTGTATGTGACAGGCAATTTATACTGAAATATGTTCTAGTACAGGGGTCTCCAATCTTGGCAACTTTAAGCCTGGTGGACTTCAACTCTCAGAATTCCCCAGCCAGCTTTAATGGGAGTTGAAGTCCTCCAAGCTTAAAGCTGCCAAGGTTGGAGACCCCGTTCTAGTAAATATTAAACATCAATGCTTCTAAACCATGAGCCTTAATCTAACAACTGCAAAAGCATTAATAAGCATTAATTAAAATAGGGGGGGAAAGGATGTCTCACAAATCCTTACTTACAAGTATGGAGGCACTCGGTGACGGTAGTTGGCTTGATCAAATACCCTTTACAGATGCAGCAGGTGATATATGGGTTGAAATCTTTCACAGAGTGCTTTCTCTGAGTAGCCATTTGTGGTACTAGCAGGCAGAATAAAGTGATCAGACTTGAGACGTGGATTTGGAAGGCAAAAGATTTGGGATCACAGGAGCTGAGGTGCTGCTGGCTGCAGCTGGGCGTCTCCCAGCATTGGAGCAGGATCTGGATTCTCAAGGGGTGACAATGCTAAACCCCATTTTCTTTTTAGAGTTAGACATCTTTCAGCCCTGAAAAAAAACAAGCCAAGGAAACAAATAAATTCCAGGAAATGAGAGACACATATCACAGAGGAATTGATTATGCTTCCTCCCACCCCTTCCCCAACCTTTTCCTGCTCATTAAAACAAGAAGAATGTTGCCTGCAAGAGTTTGTAGTGAAAGGTGGAGGAGAAATTGGAAAAAATAACATAGAGGCAAGCCCACATTGCAGTCTTGCTTACCTCTTTCCTTATCCCAGACTGCTGAAAACCACAGCACCAAAGGAGAGGAGTTTGCAAGAGATCCTGGAGGGAGAGGTTGTACGTTCCCTTCTTGAGCCATTCATACATAGCTCCTATGGGGGAGTTCATATCTTCCACAGTCATTTATGGTACAAAACTCTGAACCAGGAATGTGACCGGGCTCCTGGCAGCAGGGTGGATTTGATTTAAATCGAGTTGATTTAAATCACAATTTAAATCATGATTTAAATCACTAGTAAAAAGGCTTGATTTAAATCAACTCGATTTAAATCATAATTTTTAAAGAGCAACTGTCATCTCTGCTACTCCTTTGACCCACTGTTGACTCACCGATAGTCCCAGTGTTGCAGAATATACAGCCTCATGCTACATAACTAAGCTCCATTTCATGCTGAATAAACTAAATTATTTATGTATCTTAAATAGAAAACTATTTTACGATAGATTTTTACCCCAAAGGTTTTTTATTAAAATAAATTCGATAAAAATCAAAAAAATCTGATTTAAATAAAAAAAATGCGATTTAAATCAAAAAAATCATTGATTTTTATCCACCCTGCCTGGCAGTTATCACCAGTTTTGGTAGGGGAAGAAGAGGACATGCAACCTCCCCCCTTCCGAGCCTTCTTTGGCAGAGAGGCAGCCCCCCCCCCCCCCAAACCAAACCTCAGCAGAACAGGCCTGTTTCCATTCCCTTAATTTCAAGGTTCTTTCAACTCCATCCACCAGTCCTGAATGTACATAATTGTGATAAACGAATGCTGAATATGTAGACTCAGACCACCAGAGGTTGTCTTTCAGCTGCTATTATTTCTTACCCTGGCAAGGTCAGCTGGGACATATGGGAGTTGCTCTAAGGTATGGGAAGACCACCTAATTGGGAACTGTGACTCAATAAAATACTTTCCAAGTTCTTGGAAAGTTGATCTGGCAAGGAGTTGGTAGAGGGATATGCAAAAATGCATATCAAAACATAAGTAGGGTTTTAGATACATAGGAAGTGCCACCAGGAATACTAAAACTTTTTGTAAGATTAATTTTATTTTTATTATGCTGTCATTAAGATGGGTGACAATGATAAATATGGCAGCATCTGAAGAATGGGAGCTGAACTAATTAGCAGCCCAAAGCAGATTTGAGGCAACAAAATTGCCTTTAACATCTTAACTAATATCATATTAACAATGGCCTTAAATATATGCCATTATAATCCAGACACACAAGCCATGGCACAATGACAGTTACTTAGTCCTGCCCTCTTTGCTTCAGATTGCCCCTTTTGTTAAAAAGGGTGTCCATTAGCTGCAAAAGGGATGCAAACAATCCCATTTGTCATTCCGGTAAAAGATCTTCCTTATCCAGAAAGCAGCAAAAAAGCTAAGATAATTTGGACATAGAAAAAGAGTTGAAATAGATGAAAGCAATGGACAGTTAAAAGAGAGCAGCAAAGGAGACAGGGTGCTTTTATAGGAGAGGAGACTGGTAGCTCTTCTGACAAAATAAGCAATCATTCCATAAATCAGCCCCAAATGCTTATTTAAAGATAATTATTTATATTTATATTTATTTATGTTTTGTCAAGCATGTATTAGATAACATATATAAGTATAAACATGATTATTAATACATGAAATGGATATGAATAAAAGGGGACATTAGGACAGGACGGTAGGCACGTTGGTGCACTTATGCATGCCCCTTACAGACCTCTTAGGAATGGGGTGAAGTCAATAGTAGAGAGCTTAAGGTTAAAGTTTTGAAGTCAACAGTAGACAGTTTAAGGTTTGGGGAAGAAACCACAGAGTCAGGTAGTGTATATGTTCGTTCATTGAACAAATCAACCCAGTATTCTCACTCGAGGCACAAATGACTAGGCTCAAATTATTCTACTTAGAACATATTATACAAAGGTCTCTGTACAATGCTCTAATAAGGGGAAAGGAGATGGAAGGAAAGAGAAGAGGAGGAGGAGTCTAGATTCACTCAGGCATCCTTGGGAGACTTGAAAGAACAGATTAGATCATCATGGAGAAAATCTATCTATGCAGTTGATAGAGGTTAAAAAGGGCTTGATGGCATATCAATCAAACTTCTGTTAAACACAATTTTAATTGCTGAAAATCAACCGGTGACTAAACTATACAGAATAATTATTCATTTGAAACAGAATTTCCCTTTTTGTCAGTATCTCAAAGTGATGCACATAGTATTCCCTCCTCCTATTTCCCCCAACAACTTTGTTCGGTAGGCTCGTCTGAGAACACTGCTCCTCCTTAGGTTTACAATAATTTGCTATTAAGAAATTAAGGGAGGATTTTTTTTCTTTCATTTTAAGGAAGATAAGGCTTTAATGTATATTTATTCATTCCCCAAATCAAAGTTGAAATTATGCCACTTCTGATCAAAACATCTGGTTTTACCACAACAGTAATATGAAAACATTTTGTTCAGTAGGAATCATAGGTACAGTCATTCCACAAAATTGCCTACTCCTTATATTTCCCTAGTTTTTATTTCTAATGTTATATTTTTGGCAATAAAAAATTAAAGCAACTATTAAGAGTATTTTGCAAAAGCAGTTGCTGTGTAACTATAAAAACCAGATTTTTGGAGGATTACTTTCTTAGCTTTTTCAATTCTGGGCTGAAAATTGTCATTTTGTGGTAATGCATTTGATACAAATATTTGAAAGAAATGCTTCATAACGTTCAGAGGAATTCATAACATTCATAACTAGAGGAAGCAGCTTTGGAATTAGCTGTGTGAGTCTGGCATAAGACACAGCTGCTTTAATGATTCCAAGAAAGGTGCTTTGTTTATGCTCCTGTGGATTGCAAAGGACTTTTCTTAATACTCTGTACTTTCCTAATTGGGATTTCTAAATATTTACTTTCAGTTAAAAAACAAAATATAACCAGATACTTAGTTTTATAATCTAGCATAAACATAACTATATGTAACTGAAAAGGTTTTTTTCTACGTATATTTATTACTTTTGAATACTAATGTTCTTTATAGAATTCAACACATAAGTGTACAGTGTAAACTTCTTACTAGTTATAAATCACCAAATGACTAGAGACATACAGATTAACTTTGGAAAGTTTTTTTCCTCCTGTTAGCTAGGGGTTATCTAGGAGTCGAATCATGGTGAATGGAGACTTTACAAAACTAGTTGAAATATAGAAGGGAACAAGGCAGGGGGGATGTCCTTTATCCCCTTTATTATTTATTTTAGTGTTGGAACTATTAAATAGAGATATTAGACAGGCTAACAGAGAAAAAGTACTATAAATTAAAGTGCATGATTACAAATTAAGTGCATTTGCCGACAATTTGGTATTGATTGTGCAAGACCCATTAGAGAACATTGAACATGTTATGAGGAAGATTAAAATGTTTGGAGAAATGGCAGGTTTAAGAATAAATAAATCAAAGAGGACAATACTAAGAACATAAAGGTGGAAGATTAGAAGAAACTGGAATTTAAAACTGGTTTTAAAGTCATGAAAAAGGTATCTTACTTGGAGGTGACTCTTACTGAAGAAAATTCTAAGCTTTACAAAAATAATTACGGTAAAATATGGAAGGAGATCAAATTGGATTTAAATAGATGGCAAAAATAATTTGTCATTAATGAGAATTACATTCAGTAATTAAAATGAATGTACTTGCTAGAATGTTATTTCTATTTCAAACAATATCGATATTGATTAAAAATTATACTTTCAAACAGTGGCAGATAGATATATCTAAAGTTATTTGGCAAAATAAAAAAATAAGAATTAAATATAAGCTGCTACAAGATTCTAAAGATAGAGGAGGTCTGGATTTGCTGGATCTTAGATTATATTATGATGCTTGTTGTCTGATATGGTTAAAAGATTGGATAACTTTAAAAAATTCAAGGCTGTTAGACCTCGAAGTTCTTTATTTGAGATTTGGGTGGCATGCCTATCTGTGGTATGGCAAAGTAAAAGTTAATCCTGGCTTTAAGATTCATGTTATTAGGCAATTGATTGCACGTGTGTGGTGGAAGTATAAAAGAAGATTAGCCGATAAAGTGCCACTTTGGCGATTACCTCATAAAGCACTACATAGAACAGATGTTTTCAGAATGTAAATGGATGACATATCAAGACTTACTTATTTTCTGTGCTGAGATGATGCGACTTGAAATTCCAAACATCTACAGCAGTTTTTCTCAAGCTCAATAATTTTTAAGATATCTGGACTTCAACACCCAGAATTCCCCAACCAGCCTTCTAGAAGTTGAAGTCTATACATCTTAAAGTTGCAGAACTTGAGAAACACTGATTTAGAGGGTATTTGATTGCTTACTACATTTCATAATAGCATAGCACTTAGACTTATATACCGTTTTACAGTGCTTTACAGTCCTAAGCGATTTACACAGTCAGCATATTGCCCTCAACAATTTGGGTCCTCATTTTACCCACCTTGGAAGGATGGAAGGTTGAGTCAACCTTGAGCCTAGTGAGATTTGAACTGCCAAATTGCAGGCAGCCGGCAGTCAGCAGAAGTAGCCTGCAGTACTGCATTGTAACCACTGCGCCACCGTGGCTCATATCATATGATCATACAACTGCTTGAAAGAAACTGTGATGCTAAAAGGCTGCTCACAGAATGGAAAGAAGCAGTGTTCCATATTTTAAACATATTTGTAATGGTCAACGTGTAAGATTTTCTGCACATGGTACAGGTTTCAAGGTAATTTTTAAAGTTAGGCGACTTCAGCATCAACT